TATATATATAGAAAGAAAACGTAGTCGATGGAACCGAGTGAGATCCATAGTGAAACAACGGTGCGAACTTCAGTCCGACCTCCACGCAATAAAACTGTAAACATTTGCGAAGATGACATCTCGGTCGAAGCTCAGGATGCCTCTGTAGATGAAAAAGAAGACCTTAAAGAATCCTGTTATGATTATCAAGACGGCGATGTCAAAAAAAAATACACGTCGTATAGTACCCAGATTCTGGAATGGATGACGGATGGAAAGCTTCTCGATGGACCGCAGACCGATGACCAGGGGAATAGTCGTCCCGTTGGGCGACGAAAGCGTTCGTTGAACAAGCAGTCGGACCTCCAACACCGCCGGGAGCAACACCTGCGGCGTGCGGAAAAGCGTGAATTCTCCAAGCGCAAGTTTGATCTGGCCGAGGAGCTGTTTGAGCGAGCCCTGAATGCTCGGCAAAAAGCGATGCGCCGAATCGCCGCGGACCCGCCGGCGGATCGGCTAATAGGCCATAACATGCTGCAATACATCCCGGCCGCCTTAATTAAAGGCCAACTGAAGGAGATGGTGGAGTACCTTCAGCGGACATCCCCCCACGGCCTCCCGCCCTGCGAGCTCGAGAACCCCGCGATGGCACTCACGCCCGCCTCGGCCCGGCTCTATCGCACGGCTGCCAATGCGTTGGTCTTCCTCACCGAGACGAACGACATCGCGGGGGCTCGGGGGGGGTCGGAGCCCCCGATCAGGGTCTCCTCGAGCCATTCTAAAGAAGTCCCGACCGAGGATGGGGTGGAGAAGGAAGCGGATCGGCTGACTTCCTCGCTGGAGACCCCATTTCCCTTGACCGCGGGCGCGCGAGCCCGGCCGCCGAAGGATCGCCTCGCGCATTGGCGTGAACTGGGCTACGACGCGATTTATCTTATCCCGCCCTCGACGCCGCAATCCCGACGACGCCGCGGCCTTCGCGGGGGGGAATCCATCCCCGCGGGCTCGCAAAACGTCCTTTGGCAAACGCAGCTCATGCCTGTTGAAATGACCTCGAATGGGGAGACGATCGGCAGGGGGAAAGCCCACCCCCTGCCGCCGATATCCCGCCTGCCCAGCAATGAAGAGGCGTCCTCGCCGCTTGAAAAGCGCCACGAGAGGGATCGCGTGGGGAACAAACCTAGCAGGTGGAAGGCCCTTGCGAGTCACCGTTGGAAGATCAACAAGACGTTTCACAAATAAATCGTGGGATCTATTCCGACCCAACTTTTCTCCAGGGGTTCATTATTCCTTCACTCTCTTCCTTTTCGATGCGTTCTACTGCTACTTCAAAAATGTGTACACTGCTCATAGCTATGATAAATTAGTGCGTGATATGTATTTTTTTTTTCCTTCTTTGTGAATGGGCTGATGTAAGAAAGTCAAATGCGAATGGCGTTGGGTTCTACATGCACTGAAAGCAGGTACGGCACGACGTACCACATGTTATTCCTCACACCTTGCTCCAGTCCGCGTGTGTTGGTGATGATGCTAAGTATTATTTTATTTCTATGTTCTCTATCGTGCATTCTATTTAGTTTAGTAAAACCCTGAAATCAGGCAGGTTGGTGTACCGGCCTTTCCACTAAGGATTGTCCCCAAAAGTAGTCGAGTAAAAAGAAAGGCCGTCTCCCATGAACGGTACACCCCTCGGCCATTCTCAGGGGCTCGACAATGGAATAAAAACATCTTTAAGAACCCAAAATGGGTTTATTCCACCACATATCCGGGCCACGGCCCGTGCGGTATGTAGTGTGGATCCGACAAGCTACCCTAAACTTCACGCTCTGGTCTCCGATCTAGCCTCTGCGGCTCGTGATGCTCGACAGGCCGAGCAAATCGTCGACGAATTGCGATTCATCACGACGGAAATTCGGGATGGCGTTCCGTTCGACCCTCAGGAATTTGTTCTGTTCCTGCAGGAGTATATAACCATGCGAGAGCTGTTATTGCCAATGGTTTCTCGTCTGGAGGCGATCTCGAACACCCTGCTTGGCCGGACCCTCACGTTGACCACCCAGCTCGATCATCTGTGCACGGAGTGTGGGGTGCTGTCGATCCAGATCTTCCCAACTCTGCGGAAAATTCACTGTTTCTTTATGGAAATGGCTTCATCAGAGGCGGAATACGACTTTCTGCTTGAGATTCGTCGCGATAAAGTTCTTCGAATTTTCATGGACTTTTTGTGTGTGCTCCTTGAAAACGCCCTGGCCGCCCTCAAGGCCTATCAGTGTGATGTGGTGGCGTCCCGGGCGGAGCTTGGTAAACCCGCGGAGCCCCCCAAGGCTGCCGCGCGCGGCCTCACCCCCGTTCACGCGGACGAGCCCCAAACAACCCCCGACGAGGCGGATCCCACGCGCCTGGAAAAGGGCCCTCGCGACCTGGAAACGGTCCTTCCCGCGCGGAAAGCGAGTGCGCTATTGCAGGACCTCATTTCCGACGCCCTGGCAGGCAGGCCGCTCTTCGATGCGATGCCCTACCACCTGGCCGAGGCCCTCTGCGGCGTCCACGCGGATTTCGAGCTCCACTTTGCCCACCTCACTTGGTATCTCAGGGCAACCTCAGGCCGGTTGAACGAGGAGCGCCTTGCCGAGACCAACCCTACCTCGGAGGGGGAAGGAATGCAATTAAGCGATCGCTCTATTCAGCGAATGTGGTGGGCGGCGGTGGGGCCCCATCCGGCGTGCGAAGCCGCGCTTTTTCAAGACGCCCTCCTCCCCAAACTGGTCCCGGAATGGCTGTGGAATCCGGTCATGGCGGTGGTGAACTACCAAAACTGTGGGGTGGTCTCCTTTTTCTCCCTCAACCGGCTGTTAAAAGTGTGGGGCCCACTTGTGGTGTTGGTGGAAAAGTTTGGGCAGTGCATTCAGGGGGGGTTTCTGTCCTTAACCAGGCCGTTGTCGTATTGGCAATGGATGCTCGCCCGTCGGCCGGACGCCGTCGTGGGCGATTACCTGGTCGCCCTCACGACGACCCCTGGCGAGGTGTATTTGATGGTTTTAATCCCACCGCAACCCCTCCGAGGCGTGGGGGAACGGACGCGGCAGGGCTCGAGGAGTTCCACTAGGGGCCTTTGGATTCTCAATAATCCTCATCCCGAAGATCGAACTATGGCGGAGGTCCCATCCGCAAATCGGCGCCTCGCGACCTACCGCCTTTCCCAGGAAACAGGCCTGTGGGTCATTTGTGGGATGGCACGCAAACTGTTTAACTCCGTCGCCGACGCCTGCAATGCCTTTCCGATGTTATTTCGCCGACCCTGCGGGGATGGGACTGGGCAATCAACAGGGGGCGGGGGGGGATTGTCCGCGTATCGCCATTTGGCGGCGGCCTCGATGGAGGACCTCACGCTCCACCATGCCTGCTATCACGACAACGCGCGATGTGTGCGGATGCTCCTGCTTCGGGGGGCGGCCACCGTTGTCAATTGCGCGATGGTCGAACCGGGCGTGAATCCGGACTTCTGCTGGACGCCGCTTTTGTCCGCGGTGAATACGCCGAATTCGGACCCGGTAGAGGTGGTGCGAATGCTGCTAGACGCGGGGGCGGATATGCACTTCAAGGACGACGCCGAGCGCACGGCGCTTTATTATGCGATAGCCCACGGGTATGCGGGTTCGGTGGGACTTTTGCTTGCGCGCTGTCCGACTTTGCAGGCATCCCCGACAACGGTGCCTTTGTTTTTGGCGCTCGGCGCAAATTGGTTTCTGCCGTGCGGCAGCGATATCAGGCGGCTCGCCGATTTGATTCCGATCGCGAGCGTCGTGGCCGCCATTCTCAGCACCGTTCACGATTACGATTTGGTAGATCTTGCCGCCCGTCTTATGCGGCGAATTTTTTTCAGCTCGGGTAAAGGTTCGCATAACGGCAATAGCAAAGCGGAGCTTCCAAAAAACGAGATGTCTGTGGTACATATTGAGGAGCCACATTTTCCTTCCGAATGGCATTCAGCAGACGCACAGCTGGTGCTAAAGTACCTGCCGATAGGAGACGAAGCTTTGGAAATTCATACCGACTGTGAGATGTCGTATTTATCACAAATCATTCAAGACCACGATCGAGTATGTCGCTCCCATACCTCGCAAATGCATATGGTTTTGCGGACGTTGTATAATCGTTGTTTTCTCCTCTCGGTGCGGAATACGCTCAGCAACGGTAAAGATGCATAGGTCATGCATATTTTTTTTCAGGAGTTTAATGTTCCGTTGAGGTATTTTTTCCATTATTATTCAACTATGTAATTTTTTTTACTATTGCTTCAGGTATCAGTCTCACACGACACCATCACCTCTCGTGCTTGCCTTATACAGCCTTTTTTAATTCTATGCAGGACAAGTAAATAAGGCAGTCAAAGCAGTTTACTGCATCAAATCGACCTGTTCGAAGTCCCTTTTTATGTCCAACTAACGATGGTACAAATTCCGAAACCCCCAACCCCGAGCGCTCATGATTTTTCCTTTTCTTCTTTTTTTAACCAACCCATTTTCCAGCTTAGGGAATGTCCGGATGCCTGATCATAACAAACGAGGGAAGGCCCAAAAGGCCGCGAATAAAGAAAAGCGCGCCAACAAACACAACAACAAATCACGCAACGGCTACCACGGCAACCCTAACGCCGCGAAGGCGGGGCGTGGTCGGCGAGACCGCGAGCCGTCCTACCTGTCCAGCCGAACGAACGAGCGGCAGAACCGCCCGGCGGCGCACACCTTTGAGGGCAAAGACCCTTTGGACCAGCAGCTCTTCGACTTCCTCATCGTCGTCGACGTGGAGGCGACCTGCGAGGCCCGCCAGGCGAACTTCCCCCACGAGGTGATCGAATTCCCCGCCCTGCTGGTGGACATCCGGCGCGGGGTGGTCGACCCGGGGCGGTCCTTTCGGACCTTCGTGAAGCCCTGGCGAAACCCCGTCTTGACGGAGTTTTGCACAACTTTGACAGGGATTCAACAGGCCGACGTCGACGGGGCCCCGGACCTCGCGGAGGCGATTCGGCGCTTCGAGAAGTGGTATCTCCAGACTATCCCACGAGGCGCCAAGGTGGTCTTCGCCGCGGATGGCCCGTGGGATTTCCGAAAATTCTTTTACGAATACCACGTCCTCCGGGATCACGTCCGCCTCCCGAGTATTTTTTACGAATATTTGGACATCCGCACCACCTTTTCTCGATATTTTAATCACGGCAGCCCAATGAAACTCGACGCGATGTTGTCGAGTATGGGACTGGCGTTTGAAGGCCGTCCGCATTGCGGCTTTGACGACGCGTACAATATCGCACGGCTGGCGATTGCGATGATGAAGGCGGGGTGTGTGTTTGACTTTCTCGTCGCCATTCCCTTGGAGGATAAATTCCACTATCATTTGGAGGGATACCCACTATATAGGCGGCACGAGGGCAGCGGCCAGGTCGACCAAGATGTCGTGGATGATATCGCCAAGAAGTGCTTTGGGCAGCTCTACTTTAGCTTTGGAAAGACTCATCGCAAGGAAACTTTAGAATACCGGGAAAAGCACTCAAACGCGTTTAAAACCCGTCAAAATGTTTTGCCCCTCCGGCGATTCATACGCGTTTTTCAACAATATTGGTGGCTCAAGGTCTTGTGTGCCCTACTAGTTCTCGTTGTGGTTTTGCTTCAAATCTTCAGATGATATTTTACGGTGCATAAATAAGACATTTTCAATTGAATTTTTATTTTCTTTTATTGAAATTAGACTTGAAAAGAAAAAACTCAAAGCATAACTCTCTAAGTTCACATTCAGAATCCTTTTCGTTGTATTTGGTATCTTTTGGATCCATTTATCACTTTCTAAGGTACAGATATTCATAAACCTCTATGTCTAGAAAGACAGTTTTCTTTTGCTATTAAATTTTGATGGCATTTCGATTTGTCTTTTTAATGCACCAATTTAATCTCCTAAACGGATAACTATTAACTAAGGTGCACAAAAGCCATACGATTGTTTTAAAAGAAAAGAAGGTTGTTTACATCAAGTCCATAATTATCTTTATTTTTCCTGTTCGCATTTGCAAAGAAATTTAATCCTTAGTTTTTTTTACGCAACAAAGTGGCATAGTATGACGCATTTTTGCAAAAATAACACCCTAATCAACCTTTTTTTTAATGTTTATTCATTTTAACTGATATTTTTTCTTGTGGATTATGAAAGTCTAATCACCCATATTTTCTTTTCACCAAGGTGCCTTTGTTGATTATTCATTGCTTATTTTGAAAAGCTATTTTTAAAGTGATACAAAACAAAATTAAAGAAAACACAAAAATTATTTACTTTTAGCTTCATTGTTTTCGAAGGTGTCTCCGTGTGGATACCTTTTCCTCTTTTCTCCGTGAATTAAGGGTATTCAGAGTAGGATTTCCTACGTTTATTTTTACTCTTTTGGGTTTCTTTCGAATTCGCCACGTCTCACAAAAGGGCCGGCCTTTTTAGGAAAAAAAAAGAGTCCAAAGAGAAACATTTTTCTAGAGAGAAAAAGAACATTGGCACCACAATTGTGCCTTCAAAATGGATATTCAATCCCCCCTTCAGGCGTCGCGACCACTCCAAACCACCAACAACGCACTTGCAATAGAGCACCATTCAACGGTCTGTCGTAATACCGGGTCGGTTTACCCCGATGTCGATTTATTAACCACTTACACCCCCAATAGAGATGACCTCCCCATTGGAGGGTCTCAAGACCCTTCCGGGGCGATTGAGGAGGCTCGAATTATCTCCCAAGACCCCTCGCATTCTAAAAGCGATGCGGATCAGACTGAAGCTCAGATGACTTCTTTTTCCCTCAACAACCTGCTGAAGTCCTCTGATGAGTTTTATCCAAAGTACTGGGGCCAACCCATGCCTTTATTGACCCCGTTGGGAATGCAAGACATGTTGGAGTTCCAAAAAGAACGAAGCGCCCACGACCCCGGTGAATCCAGGGCTGGAAATTGCGAACTCCACAACCCGCAAACCGCGGGGGAGGCGAACGACCCGAAGTCCCACCCCCACCCCGGGGAAAAGCCCCACGATTGGGAGGATGGGCCCGAGGGCATTCCCTTGCGAGGAGCCCTGGTCGACGCCTCGGACGGCGATGCCCTTTTTTTCATCCCCGTCGGTGCGGACCCGACGCGGGCCCAAAGTCCCCATCCCCAACTTCGCACGCGGCATCGCTGTCGGGTGGCTCGCCAAATCGCGGTGCGGTGGATGACGCGTTTAACCCAACGCCCCCCAACGGCCATCCAAGCCGTTCGGCCCAGCCCCGCAAACCCCCGGACGGGCGCGATCGCCTCCAAAGGCGACTTTCCAACAACGGCCGCCCTGGCAAAGGCGGAAACCCTCCCGAGCGGGGTTGCCCCTTCCAATCCTGC